AAACGGCGGGGAATGAGGCCAGAATCGTGACGTCACAGGGGTTCCAGCACGAAACGAAAATCTCGCCCGTGACACTTTTTCCGAACCGGGAAAAAAGTAGTCGTTCAAGGTCGAATTGAGTGACGTCATCCCCCTACCGACCTTCCCCCTCCCCCCACGCTCTTTCGACTCCCCCTCCACCCGCCCACCCCTTACGTCCGCGAATGGACTCGTCCGTCCTGCCCAGCTTACAAACTTCGCCGCATTCGTGATGACGTCAGTTCCTCATTTTTCCCTTAATGTTTCCATTTTCCTTGCAACCCAATTTCTCATGTTGTAGCTCCATTTTTTTTTTTACCTTAATCGATCCGCTAAAATCGGAACGAAACTGGAACGACTTCAATACCTTTGCATAATTAACCTTTTTTTTTAAACCTTTTTTTTTCCATCTCCGCCCGATCTGCACGGAATTCCTCGATCAGGCCAGTCGGCCCATGCGAGTCGCTGGCCGGCCCTCCAGCGACCCAATTCCTCCGACAAAAAATTGCTCTCGGAGACGAAGGGGAATGAATGCAATTTTATTGTCCATTTGGGGCAAAATCGACTGGCAATCGCGATCGGCGCGCGCAAATCCAACTCCATTCACTTGAGTGTCTCGACACATTTCTTCTAAATATCCACGAAGTAAGGAGACGACAGATGCGATTTTCATTAGATACAATCAATTACTAATTGGTCACTTTTTTAATTTGCAGACATGGAATTTGAATCGAGAGGCACTGCCACCGAGTCAATTTGCCATCGCAGGGATGTCACATCGAAGGATCGAGATGAGCATGGAGTCCAAGAGGAGGACCCGAAAATGTACCTGAAAATATCAATAGCAGCAAGAAAAGGCCAGGACTGCAGTGATCGTTGGAACGCGTGACCCAACGGACCGTCCGAAAGACCGAACTCACCCGAATAAATAGTCCACCACTCACGGGAACTCCGCATCCGGATTTTCATCGCTCGTGTCTCTTCGCGACGAAAAAAATGCATCGTTCCACCGACCGCCTTCGTACCCTCGTCGGGAAAAGGATGGGAAAGGACCGAACGAAGGCGAATAGAGGCAAGATGTAGAGCAGTCTCGGTGGGAAGCGTCCGACAGGGATGCAACTAACAGGGTTGCCACACGGCCGATTTTTCCAACAGTTTCCGATGAAAAAATAATGAGAGGAAAATGAAGGACCCGGCCAGACTAATAGAATGTAAAATAGAGAAATTAAGAAAGAAAATGAATGAATCTCTTTCGCCTTCGGAGTCTCCAGGTCCATCCACATCTTCCCCTTGGTTCATCTACATCTTTACTTCCATATCTTGCTTCAGTCAATTTAATTTCAGTTTTTTTTAACTGTTGAGAGAATTCTCTAAAGCAATCACTCTTACTACAGTGTAAACATTTTTCGGAAATTTCCGATTCCTCTTAGCAAACGTTTCCGACGAAGAACACGTAAACCTGGATTTCGCCTCAAGCTCGGAAAATATTTCTTGAATTTCTTCGGCAAGCCCGCTGCGTCTTTTCCGCGGAATTTTCCCCTATCTCTTCGCAAAATATTTCGTCAAAGGGACATGAAATCCGAATTCCGGCGTTCGAGCAGACGACCCTTTTCCTCGTTCGCGTCAGGAAAGTCCGTTTCGAATATTCGCCGAAATGTCCTTCGCGATCGTTCGGATCTTTCGGTATTGCCACCTGGAGGAAGCCACCGATACCTCTAGTTTCCAACCCGAACGCTAGATGACTCCCCCAAGCCTCCGATATCAAGGGATATATATGCAAAGCATGAAGTAGTGACGAAGCTGAAACAGGCGCCACGTCCAAGCCCGGCCTCCCTTCCCATTCTCTCCCTCCCTACAGGCACGAATGTAAAAATTTTTGCTGGGGAAAAGTCGAAAAATATGCCAATCGCCTTCCCTAATCGGGACCTCCCCTCTTTCATCTCAAAATGCGTCGATTTTCATGAAAACACGAATTACGGTCGTGCCGACAAGACTCTTCCTTCTGCCTCATATCGTTACTCTTTCCACGCTCCATCAATTCAGTTTAGTTAATTTATTTCAATTTATTTTATCCATAGTTTGGTCACATTTCAGGTGAAGCAGATTCATCTGCCTTTCTCATAAGGGCCTATAAGAAAATGACTGATGGCGAGGCAGATCTGTGCCTAGCCTAGTACTGCGGGTGGTAGTTCCATCATCATCAATTTAATTGGATGAGAAGGGGCCATAAAATGCAGCTTTTCATGTGGCATTCCCTTAAATTTAGTCACAACTCATCACATATCCTGCTCCATATGGATTTCCCCTCAATTCCCTCAAGAGTACAGCTTTTTTCATCTTGTTTTGAACATAAAGGAATGTCTTCCCTAATTTGGCTGCATTAAAGATTGGAAAATAATATTGATGTTGCTACTGAGACAAAGGGTTTCTTGAACAGCAGACTGCTTCATACAAGAATTTCATCTGACAACAGCTAATACTAGATAAGGTGCATGAAAATTCCTTGACAGTGTGATTTATAAAGAAGCAATTTTTGCTACACTCCAAAAGACCCTCATGCGTGACGTGTGGGAGTCTTCAGTTGCAAGGTTTTCAGGTATCAGAGACACTATGGGGATCCCAATTTCTAATGTAATAGATTTCACCTTCTCGGTAGGACATAAATAGGAGCATCATGCTTTCTAATGAGGAGTGTAATGGATCTGCAACACTCTGATTCCGACCCTTCTAATCGCCTCGGGGTCAGCCGCCATCGCCCACGGCGTCAAGTCGACCAATAAACGCATAGCTTTCCAATTCGTGACGTCACACTACGGAGTTTTGACGCTCTCCACGAAGACCAGGTATGCCTTGGCCTAGGCCTACCCGGTCTTCAGTGACGAAGTATTGTATTTTGAAAATCAATTAATGCAACCTATTCCCCCTTTGAGGAGTAGAAATCGTATTTATTATCATTGCACTTAATAATGGCAGTGCATTAAGAGTTTCACACGTAGTTAGGCCCAGGGCCTACACGAGGCTAAGAAAATTCCGTCACAACTACGGATAGACCCCGCAAAAGGATCAATCGTCAAATCGGCGTGAGATCTTCGACCGCCATGTCCGGTCTAGGTATATTTACCAGAGACATGGTAAATATACCTAGACTGGACACGGCAGTCGAAGATTTCACGCCGATTCGAAGGGCTGGCGACCATTACTGATGGCGTCAAGGAGAGGATGAAGCATGGGATTCACTGAGTCAATTCACATGGTCAATGTGTTCAGGATTCGTATACTATGAAAGACCACTGACTGGGTTGGGTATCAGGTCTTACAATGATGAATCTGGCTTGATAACTATTGACCCTTTTCCAGGGTCTAACCTTAGGTGTGGCGGAATTTTCATAGCCTGCTGAACAGCTTCATGTAGACCCTGAGCCTAACTCCATGGGGAACTGATGATATCTTATCATTATCATTGAGTGCAATGAAAATAAAGACGGAATATGTGGCATTAATCAATTTTCAAAATACCATGCATCGTCTCTGAAGACCAGGTAGGTCTAGGTCTAGGCCTACGCGGTCTTCTTGGAAAGCGTCAAAACTGTCGTGTGACGTCATGAATTGGAAAGCGTTTATTTATGAATTGGAAAGCGTTTATTGGTCGATTTGACGCCATGAGCGATGGCGACTGATCCTTCTAATCGGCGTGCGGCTGCCTGACTTTCTTCATTGGCCTGTCCAGTCTAGGTATATTTACCATGTCTCTGATATTTACCATGTCTCTGATATTTACCATGTCTCTGATTGTACCTACACTGTAAAATTTTTTCGGGAATTTCCGATTATTCTTCGTAAAAATTTCCGACGAAGGACCTGTAAACCAGGGTTTCGCCTCATGCTCGGAAAATATTTCCTGCATTTCTTCGGCAAGCCCACTTCGTCTTCGTTTTCGAAATTTTCCCCTTCCTCTTCGGCAAAATATTACGTCTAAGGGACCTACGTGCGAATTCCGACGTTCGAGCGAACGACCCTTTTCCTCGTTCGCGTCAGAAAAGCCCGTTTCGAATATCCACCGAAATATCCTTCGTGATCGTTCGACCTTTCGGTATTGCCACCTCGAGGAAGCCACCCGATACCTTTAGTTTCCAGACCGAACGATAGATGACTCCCGCCAGCATCCGATATACTCTTAAATATGACACCGTGATGCTTCGAAAAACGTATAGTTTTCATTCTCAAGAAGAAATCTATTTTTATGTGCATCTCCCTGTCGGATACAGGGGAGACGAAGAGCATGACAGCTTCTTCTTCTCGTTGGAAGAGGAACTCCTCTGAAACTCAGGACGCCCGAATTCATCGACAACATCTACATTTCCTGGCTGACTCCGGCCCGCGTTTCCTGGACCAATCATCCAAGTATGAAAGATGGAAGACTCGGACGTTCCTAGCACTCTCTTTGAGAAGGGAAGGGTGGGAATGGATTGCGATCTTTTCAAAAGCGATTAAAAGGAGATACTGCATAATCGCGTTTGTGAATAGAACGGGCAGACTCGGCATGATAGGGATGCACCAAATATTCATCGATTAATAAGGAGAGGTTGCGTAATGATGACGAAATTCCATTAATTATGCAGTACTTCCAATGGAAAGGAGCCGTTTTTCAATAACGAAGACAATTAAGGAAAACCGAATGAGACGAAAATGACTTTCGTGAACCGGAACCCGATTCCGACTATGGATTGAAATTGAGAGGAAAGCTCCATTACTCGCTTCAGCCGGAATGATGGATTTCGAGGTTTTTTTTTCGGAACAGCATGTTTACGTTAAAAATAGGAGACGTGGTTTCTGCTATAAACCCTGAATCCGCTTCTCCAGGCATTAGTAGGAAACCCTGTTTCCGATGCCTTAGTCGGAATTATTTTTTACAGTGCACCTATCGGATCGAGATTTTTTTTTACGCAGAAAAATGCGGGCGTTCTACGCGTTTGTCCCAGGAAAACGTCTGGCGTTCCCGCGAACGCAATCGCTGCGCGCTCGGGACAATGCCGAATCCTCACAAAGGGAGAGAATCTGCAGGAAGCCACCCGGCCACCTGCGACGACAGCTGGCCAGAGGATCCCGGTGGGATTCCGTCCGCTCCGGAGGCGACGAACGACATTCTCTCTCTGCGACTCCTCAGGGTGTAAGTGCCTCCTCTCTCTCTCTCTCTCGTTTGTTCTCTCTCTCCTCTGGAATTTTAAAGACTTCGTCTAAGGTGGATCCTTTTATGACGATTTTTTTTCCCAGTACCTTAAAATTCCTCTCCGGAGGTCCAGGAAAATATATTCCAGGCGTCCCAATCGCGTGATTAAAAACAAAAAACAAAAAACAGAGGGCATTCGAGGGCATTCAAAGGTTTTCCAGGGCATTCGAGGGCATTCAAAGGTTTTCCCGGGCATTCGAGGGCATGCTCTGCTAACGAAACGAGCTCGCTTTTACACGATTGCAGTCGTGGGATAAGGGTACGACGTGTCCGACGAGTGCTTCTGGGAATAAGGGGGAAAAAAAACTTGAAAAAGTACGGAAATGAAATAACCTTAAAAGATAAATAAATAAATAAGGAAAAAGCAAAATTTTTTCGTCTCCTCAAAAAATATAAATAAATATTAATGCACAAGAATACTACATGCTTCGTTTCCCCGTTCCAGATACGAAAATGGAAGGGAAGATGAAGATCGCTGGTGGACTGGTCGTCGCTCTCGCCTGGCTCCTGTCTCCAAGTGAGTCCCACGAAAAAAAAATTAATAATAAAGATAATTTAAAAAAAAAATAACAAAACGCGATCGATTCCTTATTTCCATGCGCCATTTTTCCCGTGAGGGAATTCCACGATTGGGGTGGGAAGTCAAATGGGGGAACGATTCGATTTATATTCCAGAATATAGCTTTAAAAAAAATATCAGTTCTCGGTGGAGGCAAGGAAAGGAATCGGCGTTCGCCGTCGCAGATCCCTCGCCCCCAGAGGGGCACGTCTTGGTCTGTCTCGAATAGGGGCGAGGGATTCCCCGCGATTTTCACTTTTCCATCGGGGATGATTGTAACGGCATACGATTGAATGTTTCCCGTCTCGATGCGTGGTCAGGCCGTATCGAAGAGGATTCGAATAGCTTCTCGAGCACGGCTTCGGATTAATCGATCGCTTCAGAATTTTACACTAATTGCTCGAAATTTTACTGCAGCGTTTGCCGGACAATGCCCGCTGCCGCAGGGACTCGCGCCGTGCGTGGAGGAATGCGCCGGCGACAAGGACTGCCCGACCGGACTCCTCTGCTGCGACAACGGGTGCGGGCGCGCCTGCACGCCGCCAGGCGAGTTCCATTCCCTCTCCAAACGTTTCCTTCGCGTTATTTATCACGTTGTTGTCACTGGGGGGGATGAACGTCTTTAATCTTGAGCGTTTTCTGACTCCGCCCGATAAATTTAATCAAAGTGAGAATAAAATGAATAATGGCGAAAATGATGATCGATGATGCATGCCTAAGGAAGGGCGAGTGCAAAACGAGATGCGAAGGCTTCTGAGGACTTTAAATTTGAGCAAAGGAATACCAGCATAGGTCTCTCGATTTCAACCGAAACGACTAGTGCTCGTAATTTTTCCCTTCGACTGGAAAAATTTACTTCATCGAGGATTCGGAGTGAATTAGCCGGATTTGCTCGAATCCCTGGAATAGTGTGCAACTGCGACGACGTGCGCTGTCCCGAGGCTTCGTGCGTCATGGCCCGACCGATCTGCAAGGTTTACGGCGCATGCCCCCAGCGACCCTTCTGCATCCCAAAAGGTACGGCCCGACCGGGAGTCCGGGGACTTCCACCTTTGCGTCGAATACGGAGCGATTCGTCCCTTGCAGATGCTCGGACGTGCGAGGGCGTGGAATGCGAGAAGGGCGAGGAGTGCGTGATGCAGGAGGTGGAGTGCAAGGAGCATCCGTGCCATCCCGCGCCTCGTTGCATCCCCGAGGCCTTCGAGGCCGGCGGGGCCGAGGAAGAGTCCGTCCCGTGACGGAATCCCAGGCCGATGCCGAACGCATTTCGGTCGCGTCCGTGGCCACGTGCTTCCATCTCAAAATCGATATTCCTCTTCCTGTAGCCATTGGAAGTTCGGGACGCGGCCGTGCCCGTTATACCTACACCGTGTGCAAATGTTTTTCGCGATCGTGTGCCTTCTTATAATCTTGGAATAAATGCACTTCCCTCCGTTTCGTTTGTCTCAACTGTTTCGTAGGGTGAGCAACAGAATGGAGAAATATCTCGTCCGTGGATTTTCGTGCATTATTGGTCCTAATCCGAGTCATGCCAATGCACTCGAGTCTGAAGACGATCGACAACGAGAACGATGACGCTGCCGCCCACTTACTTGTTCCCGAGATGCAAATCTATTCGGGGTCGCACGGTCGGTGCGTGCATTCCCTTCCATTCGCTGCGAAACAATTCTCGAAGCAGTGATCCGATATCATGCGCGATCCGATCGCACTAATTCTTCGGACGCACCATGACCTCGATGAGCCCGAGCCGGTCACTCGACGCACGATCCCTCGCTTTTCGGGGGTCCGCAGCCTTTTTCGGCGGACCGAGTTATGTTCCTGTGCATCGCAAACAGACGAAGAATGGATGAGAATGGATTCATGGATTCGTTTCGCACTCACTCGAGACGGGGAAAGACGGCGGTGCATTGACGACGCACCACAAGCACAGAGTAGAGAGTAGAACTAGAGGCTCCACTCTTCTCGAATCCCATTCATCGACAGGGTCGCAATGTAGAGTTCACTGTTGATTCTCCACCTAGCGTGCGCACATGAAGAACTCCTCCATGGCAGAGCAGCGGACGAGACGAGACGTGCGTGTTACCTTGAGGAATCCCTTCCGGTCGAATCCCCGAACGAGTCGATTCCCAATTTCGTTGCCACGAAGCACGCCGAATGGAAGGGTTCTTGATAACAGGCCACCTGATGTCTCTGTAATATTTCGACCCCCCCCCCCCTACCATCTGCCCCTCGGGGTGTCACCTCTAGTTATACTCTCTACTCTATGCCACAAGTTGGAATCACTGCCTCCGGCATTCCGAATCGAGTCCGAGGTGGTTGAAGGATCTGTCCGAGGTGGCGAAGTCCATTCACCGACTGGTTTGAGCGAGAGTTCCACGTGCGTCCCATGCCACAGTCATGCCGATGCCTTCGCCCTCCCATCCAAAATTATTTTTTCCACTTCCAGTTGTTATTTAAGTGGAGCCGTTATACCTCACACCTAATACTGATGTCGATTCGTGATCCCCGAACACCTCATAATCGTGGGATACATATATCAGTTTCCGCTTCGGGTGTCCAATGTTTTTCCGGGTAAGCTGCGAATAAAATTGCATCGAGGGAAGGAGACGATGGTAAATGACCAATGTCAACCAAAGACGGAGAGAATGACGATGGACTGGAAAAAGGACACTTGTGTCGCTCATTTCGCATGCATGCCCGGTTCCATCGACACACGCGTGCGTTCGTTCCAGATTTACAGAGGGGAGAATACTTTATCTCGTATGGATGATCTGATCCCGTTCGCGATCCAATTGCCTTAAGATATGGTTAAATGCCTTCTTGAATAAAAAAAGGTAGCATTTTACCCATACAACTCAAGTACATCATAAAGATGTCCCAGAGATATTTCCTGGAGATGAGTGAGAAGTAACAGGAATTGCTTCTGAGCACATCCTATGGCCAAAATACACAATGCGAGTACTCACCTGTTCCCAAAGGGCCCCATCATAGGAGAACACATCTCCAAATGACGAAATTTAACGCCCTTACACATGAGATCCTGTACGAGATGACTTAGCCCTACGCCATTGGAAATGAAGGGACTGAGGTCTCCAACCACGATCGTTGCATCCAGTCATGCCGATCAGACATCACTTAATGGAAAGTCCTTACTTATCCTAAGGACAAATCAAGTAGATGAATTTGATAGGAAAGTTCTGAGGTTGCAGATCACGGCTCATGGGAGACATCTACCGTCCAAGGCATGCACCTGGCTGAAGGCGACAAAGGGCACTGAAGATCCCTAAAGACATCCATAAGATGTCATGAAGACATTCTCCTCAAGATATCCAGAAGCACTCGATGAGAGATATCTGCAAGATATCCCTTATGGGATATCCAGAAGCATTCGAAGGATGTCTTAAAGATATGTCGAAAGGGATATCTCTAAGATACCGACTGAAGATGCCTAAAAGACGTCTGTAAGACGTCCCGAAGACATCCCTCACGAGATGTCTGGAAGTCGATGTCTTCAGGATATCCTACGAAGACCATGGGACAAGTCCGATCACAAATCGCAACGACACGGGTCCCGATCTCTCCACTTTGCTCATCGATCCTGAAGGTTTCCATCGAGCGGGACTGAAATTCGTGTCAATTTGTCCATGGCAAAAGGAGCTTAGGTCGCCATTAAGAGAGGACCACGCGTCATGAGTCAAATGATTCGTCCATTACTTCTTGCAAGGGAAACTTCGAAACCGATGGGCAGTGAAGACGTGTAAAAAGCGTGCAGGATTCCTTTTTAATGCATAATCGGGTCGAATCTCCTGGCGTTCCATAAACAGCCAAGAGACAGCACTTCTCCAGCCTCACATCTGGCCTAGATTGAAACGATTTCCTCATTCGTTGATCTCTGGTGACACTCTTTATCCAGGAATCGTCCAACATACGGCGCCTGGTGGAAATGTTTGTGAATTGCCCGCCAAGAAATGGTGCACGTGATTAAAGGAGGGAAAGTCTGCTGGTAACGACAAATCCAGCAAAACACACATTGGACTTTAGAATTGTAACGGCAGCTCAAGAAATACGAAGCCACTAGCAATTTTAATCTCTTAAGCCCAGTCTTCATTTATTCCCATGGCAGAGGTGTGCTGGCACAATCGGCTGACCGAGCCTCCCTAGTTTCCACACACTAGCTGCACTTATTACGAATCATATCTGTATCATAACCCAGATATTGGGAACGGGAATCCCGCTTCACCTTCTTGAGATAACCTATCGACCGCTGGAGGAGTTCCTTCATCGTGTACCGGTTCGATTTCCATTTCTTGCGATTCCGTAAAGCATCTGGTTTTACCCAACCGAGAGGAATCGGTACTGTACCCCTCGCCACTCAGAAAGTACCCGAGGGAGTATATGGCTAGGGATCCGTCCCTATCTCTTCGTAGTACGATGGTGCAATCTTTCTGATTTGTATGCATGACCTTGACCTCATTACGTGGTCGTAAACTCACCAGGATCGCGTCGTCATATTTCCTCGGTCGACCCGTCGACACAGAGATCGTCTGTCATTTTGCTGAGAAAGTACGCAGGCGATGCCGCAGCTCTTGCCTTTGCTGTATCTCGAACCAATATGAAATATTATTTAGTTGCGGATTAGACCTTTTGAGCTCCTCTGAAGTCGCCTCTGGCACCATAATAGCCTACAGTACGACCAAACTACCTGTGTATATTTATCCCTTCTGACGTTAAATATATGAAACACTGAAAGGGGAAATGGTCTTTCGAGTGAAAATAAGTCATTTTTCCAGCTAAAGAGGAAAACGTTAATTTTTAAGTGATCGTCTTTTATAAAAGCGAGGGAAAGTAGTGCATGAACAAGGTGGGCCATATGTATCAGGTTGTTGGACTGTCACTGATCTGATATGTCCATATGCTCTAAACAACATGGGATTCATGGCCTACCCTGAAGATGAGTCAGTTTCACACTTTCGTAAAACCCTCGAACGACTATCTTTAGCGAATGAAAAAAAGGTCTCAGCATATAAGCCCAATCATGACCTATCTCAGAAAATTCTCCAAATAGACCATCAAGAAAAAAAAATTCTGAGGCTGCATGTTGATCCCCAAAGAGATAGTTCTTCATAGGAATCGGACGTTACCGACCAGAGTTCAGGTTTTAGTCCTTTCAGGGTGAAACAGAAGAAATGGTACAGATAGAGTGAAACACCATTTGCTAGGGTTATTTGTGCGAGGTCTCGAAGCAGGTATTGCTCTTCGGAGATTTTAACATGCCCAACATAGATTGGTCGGTGCCGCGAGGGGTACGTGAGAGGGATAAGGAATTTCTCGTTGCGGTTCAGGATGCTCTTCTCGTTCAATACGTAAATGAACCGACTCGCGAGGAAGTTTCATTGGATTTAGATTTTGGGACGAACGACGATCTGCCACGAGACGTTAAGGTACAGGATAACTTGGGTGATTCGGACCACTGCGCGATCACGTGGAATATCAAGCGGAAGAAGAGTAACGCCAAACCGAGGAAGGTTTCGTACAACTATAAGTAGGCTAATTTCGTGAGACTACGCGAATGCGTTTCGGGCATCGACTGGGAGGCGCGGCTCCGTGGGCTGACGGTAGAGAAGCAATTGGGGGCGTTCGAGACGTTATTGCAGGGCTTTATGGAGGGATGCATCCCCAAGAAATCCATAAAATCGGGCAGGCAACCGGTCTGATTTACGGGTAAAAACAAAGCTCTCATCAGGGATAAAAAGCGGGAATGGGATGCGTACAAGCGGACGGGAGATAGCAAGAACTATGAAGAATATAGGAGGATCACGCAGACGTTGAAGCGGGAATTAGATCTGCGAGACGGGAGCGAGAGGAACAGCTGGCTAGCGATGCTAAGAAGTACCCTAAGGCTTTTTATCAGTATGCTAGTGGTAGGTGTCAACAGTCGATCGGGCCGCTAATGAACGAAAAGAGGGAGTTGATTGCAAGTAATAAGGATATGGCCAGTATACTTAACGAGTTCTTCGCTTCCGTTTTCACTGTGGAATCCGACTCGGCACCGACTACAATAACGTCTCGAACGCCCCCAATTGCTTCTCTACCGTCAGCCCACGGAGCCGCGCCTCCCAGTCGATCGGGCCGCTAATGAACGAAAAGAGGCAGTTGATTGCAAGTAATAAGGATATGGCCAGTATACTTAACGAGCTTTTCGCTTCCGTTTTCTCTGTGGAATCTGACTCGGCACCGACTTTGGAGGAGGTGATCTCGGCGCGCATCGAGGTTATTTCCATCACCGAGGAGACGATCGTGAGTATGATAGGGAAGTTGGCGGTGGGCAAGGCGACCGGCCCCGATGGGATTCTTGGGTGAGTCATGAAGAAAACCGCGAGAGAAATATCGGTTCCGCTAAGAATTATATTTGAAAGGAGCTGTCACGTGAGAAACTGAAGGTAGGGAGGTTGGATGGACTTTTTCTGATAAAGATATAAGTACGGCAATCAGCCGTCTACGAGAGATTTCCCAATTTAACTTACAGAAGCGCAAGCATGTGAAAACCAATTTCAATTGTAAACCTTTTCTTTAACCCAAACCTAACCNATGTGGTGTCCCACGCGTCGTCGGCTCGAGAGGAGCAGGTGGCGTTATGCGTGGACGACCCATCGTTGAACTCCGAGAAACGACGGCAGGTGTAGATGACGCGGGCACCCGGAGGTGCTGGGTACTTCCCGTCCCATCCCTCGTATTTCTCGATCGTGTCATTCATCTTGGGGTATTCCGTCACGCAGGATACTGAAAATTGCCTCCATGAAATGCAACGCAGTTCGACATACTAGCTCCCATTTTCCTGATGATCCCATAATCTTTACTGTCACCCTTTTTTCTGCCTATCCTAGTTGCTTACTGTCTAGTACTTAACGTCGACATTGCCCCCGACCTTTTTGCCTGTCCATGAAGGCATCTAGTTTCTTCTTAAAGATAGTCACAGCGCGGGGCAGCCACTACGTCGTCATCTAACGCATTCCACGCATTCGCCACTCTGCAAATAAAATTTTCCTGTCTCGACCTGAGCCGCACCTGAGATTTGCGCAACTTAAGTCGGTTACCTTTCGTTCTCTTGCTGCCATCAAACTGAATAAACCTACCACACTCGACATTATCTATTCCTTTAATTATCTTGAAAAAAAAGGTAAAGTTTCCTATCAGACCACTAGATGTAGTTATGGAGCTACCGTTTCCCACAGAACAGCCCTTCCCTCCTTCCCGGGAATTTCCCTCATAAGTATGTTATGTCACTTCGTCCTGTGTTTCGCCTTGCCTCATTATATGTAAAAATATACGCGGACAACTCCTCACTCATTATCCTCATATTCGAGACAGATTCCTGGATCTTAGATCAAAAGAAGCTTGTCTTCACAAACAGTAGTCCGTACATGAACTAGTGAACTCCATCCTCGTGGAACATATGATTTCAACAAAGCAAGTAAGTTTTTTCGACTAGTTGCCTGATATATTCGTCCTGACGATTGGATGATATAATTAGGGAGTGACGTTTGGTGCACTCAACAGGGTTTGAGGAACGCTTCTCACCTTCTTGAATACATGTATACTAGGAAGGTTACAAATTTATCCCAATCGGTTTATTATTTAACCTTTTTAAAAGGATATTTAATTTAATCCATCAAAATAGGCTAAATATGTAACCCACAAAAGATAAATGAGTTGCAGTTAAAATACCCTTTAGGGGGATGAAAGCTGAACCAATTTTGCTACGCAGTGTAGATATTGTGTCTGGCATGAGGGCGATACACTCATGGGGTTTACATACACTCATTGTATTTGGGCAACTTTACGTCATTTTGAAACTGCTTTCCTGTAATCTTGAAGGTCACAGATACCTACATGTAAAGAAAATAACAGAAGAATTGAATCTCATATGAATTCTGCGCAGAAAGAATGTGACTTGGATATCCATGCCTTCTTTCATTTGGTTATCATGGCTCTCATGGATAAAACCCTTCCTAGTTCTCCATACAATTTTTTTAATGTGATGGAATGCCCTAAGTTGATTTTATTCGCACCTCTTATACATGGAAAAGTCCTTCCTATTTTTCATGAAGAGAAATTGCCTCCAGTGGGAGCAAAAGAGGTACCAGATGTAACTGAAAGCGCATGATAAGAACTAGACCGTCTCCTCGACCCGAGCAGCGAGCCTTATGAAAAGTGCACAATCGGAGAATATCCGCACTTTCCTGGATGTCATTCTGAGAATCGTTATTTCGGTGAAGTCGTCGTCCCAAGATCCGAGTTGAAAGGGAATGGGAATTCCAATTCTCTGCCTATGCATGAATGCAAGCTGAGTTGTAGCACTCCCTGCTCCATGAAGGAAGTCGATGGAGGACTGGCATATTTTGGCTCGTGAACCTAAGGGAACAGGAAATCAGAAAGGATATCCACGCCGACCAATAAGAAAAGGGGGTGAGGGGAGGAGGGGACTGGTGAGCGAAAGTTCTAAGGTGCAAAAAAAAGTCTTGCTAGGGGGAAGAGACGCTCGGCACTTTTTCAAGAGCTGCCAAGCGTCGGCGTAAACTACACAACACTGACAGCGTGGCAGGACGTTCGAGAATAGAAGGAACCCTTTTTCGGGTGAGTACTGTAAAGATGAAAGGCAATTCGTGAATACGATTTTTCACGCGAATGAATACATGCTCGCATCTTAAGCACATCCCATAAGACACACGATACTAGCTGGTGTGCGCGAGAGTGTGCGAGCGCGCAAATGACGCATCCTCGGGTTCCTTGAAGCCAAGCCAAGCGGGTGAAGGACTCGATAGACTAGACGAACTCTCGATACGAATGGTCTCTCTTTGCCAGCGGGTGTGCCTCATAACCCAGAGAAATATCATGCGATTTCGTCGGCTCGAACTGGTCGACCCGAAAGGATATCGGGTATCAAATCTGCTCCGATCACTTACGAAGATTTCTACCCATTCACGGACTGGAGACATCTAGAGAAGCTCGTGCCGATAGAACACCATACTTTCCCCATTTCTCCGTAAGGGTGAGTTGGAGTGTATTTTTTCCTCTCTCTTGATTACCATAGAGCTTGCAACTCATTCAGAAGCAGAAGTTCATGGCCGTCATTCTCATTTTCGATCTGCTTTTCCTTCATGAAATTGGGGTAGCGTGAATACCATTTTTTTCATGCCTAGGGTAGGGAAGAGGGCATGTGCTTCAGCCCCCACCCCCCTCTCCCCCTACGCTACGCCGCTGCAGAGCAGGAAAGGAGGAAATGAGTTCGAGACAGAAGCCCACGCCCCTGCCCTTGACGGGGGAAACCCATCCCAAAAGTTTTTTTTTCCTCTTCTCCCGCTCTCCATAAACCAAGGAAGTGGACACTTCTTTCGTGGTGCGAAGAAAAAGAATAACTTCTCTCCTTCACACCACGCGTACCACTAGCTCATGCATTTAGAGAGAAAATTGCATGAAATACTTATCCCATATGAGGAAGGGGCATCGCAGTCGTTTTATCAGTTTAAGAAGGAATGCATGTATGGTCGCGGCCCACGGGTTTCGACAACAACACACCAGAGTTTCTTTACCGGACCAATCAGGTCCTCCGTAATAGAAAGAATGTTAAAACCGAGGAAACTCATTTTAAGCGCCAGCAACAAACGGACCGATACATTCAATGGCGTTCTTCTGCATGTGAAAGCGATAAAACAAACTAAGCGATAGGGAGAGGAATTCAGGACCCAATGGGCGCCTTCCTCGTGTAGACGTCACACTAACCATCATGGCGCGCTTCTATGCTTCGTATCCCCGAGCACATGGTTGCTTGAATGTGACCCGCTCTAGGCAGAGCCCATCGGTCGGTGTCGCTGTAACTTGCAGGAAGTTCCTCTCAGTAACCTAGACGATCTCATATTCGAAAATCTGATCAGTCTCTGCCCGTCTAAAGGCAAGAGCTAGAAATAGGCTATAGGCCTAACATCATTAGGACCTTTGTCATCGTTCTCGAAGAACTTACTAACATGAACGTCTTTCTGACTTCACTCTGAGAACTTGTGAATAAAATGACATGAAGGTCTTCATCCAAGATGACCGCCCTTCAAAGGAACTCGAATACAGAAATTCACTTCAAAAGTAGGAATATTTGGTTGCAATTATGAGGCCTTAACTGCACATCAATTCCACCACAGTATGCATTGGGTGGATTTTGCATGGTTTTGGAAGTGGAGAAGTTTTGAAGAGCAAGGAAGTCAGTCTAGTGAGGAGCTTAAGGTTGTTAGGTCACCAATGAATCCCTGGGCCTTTCTATTTTTCCACAATACACTCAAGCTCGAGTTGGCTCGTGGTGCATTTTTTACGTTAAAGCTTTAGCCATGGATCGTGGTGATTCCTTTTGACTCCTTTTGACTCCTGGTGACTCCTTTTGAGCCGTATACCTATTGGAAGTGAAGAACACTCCCGATGGCGTCGACATTGGGGAGAATAAGAGCATGTAAGGGAAGTGTGCTGGGCGCCATTGAGATACAGGGCCGTTTTAGGCGTACCGCTCCCATTGGAGAGTGCATTCCTCTCCCTATCGCTTAGTTAAATAAAGGAGAAAGGAGCTTTTTGCACTCTTTTTGGAGAGAAAGCCTAACCGCGGAGACGAAACATGAGAAACGCGACCGCGGAATGGACTGGGTTCCACACATGAAAGTAGACTGTTGGAAGACCTCGTCTCCCAAGCTTTCCAAACTGGGTCACGCTAGGGCTAGTCGGGCTCGCCAGACTCTACCTCCTTGGGTGATGTGGACTATTCCTTTGTGATTAATTCTTAAACAACTCATTTTAAAGTACAGTGGAGGACATTTCCGAATACAGATACGGGGATGGTACAGGTGGAAACATCCTTCTCTCCAGACATCAGGTATAGAAATAGGAACAGTGACCGGTCTGACTAGCGAATTACGCGGCGCCAGAGGCGCCATCTCACGCCAACCAAGGAAAGACACATTCATTGAACTGGGTTAGGAATTGTGAGGATGAGTACGACTACATAGAATTGGATCTACAGATCGTGACAACACGAAGCCAACTCTTTGCTTGAGTGGCAAAAAGGGCTGAGATAAATTAATTCCGCATGAATGAGAATGAGTCCCATATATTACGGTACCATCCAAGAAAAGAAAGCCCGGCCGCCAACTAATCAATAGGCACGGTAGCGCCTATTCCATTTCTTCAACCCCTTCCCGTCACAAAATCCAACCTCCTCGTATTCCTCTCTGAGAGGATCTGCAGGTACGAAATTGAGCAGACTTCTTCCCATCTCAACACAGAATCTTTCCAGCAAATTTGAAGTTCTATCTCCCCCGGGTTGTGAAGAAAACTGAATCTTCCTTTTTGAATATGCCAAATTCATTCCGTTTTTTTTTTCTCCCCCCCCTGGCTAGGCACTCCTGGGAGGTTTTCGGAAGAAAGAGACCAACCATAAGAAAGATATTACCTCGTAGATGACGAAAAGTGGCTTTTTTGCTGTTTGCGATGCTCCATTTCGCCATTAAAAAAAATGAAATTAGCTGTCGTTCAATTAGGCTTAGAGAGCTTGCTCCGGCACCGTCCCCAGTGTTGCCGGATAACGTGTCGAAATTATGCCAGATTCAAGACTGTTTCAACCTTCGTATTGGCGTCTGGATCTTATATTTTTTAATGCATGAGACATGTTTATGCTGATTTCATGAGATGAGTTGAGAATGAACTGGTTGTTAGCTGTTATTGATCGATGTGGTGGGATACGCTGATATCTTATTCTGACATCCCTGAATTGACAGGATGGCGCGTACCATGGATTCCATGCTGCTTGAGGGCATTCGCTCCTCAGACCTATTCGAGATGGTTCGAGGAACTCATGATGGGCCTAACGTTCAAAGTCCGCACTGAAATGGTTCATGAACGTATGAATAGGCCTGCGATTGGCCTACCGTTACACGTCCTTAACCAGATGTCTCGAAGACCACGATTCACCCTTATAGGCCTAATTGGCGCCGTAAGAAGGGCATTCTCTCCTCAGACCTATTCGAGATGGTTCGACGAACTCATGATGGGCCTAACGTTCAAAGTCCGCACTGAAATGGTTCATGAAACGCGAAAAAGTTCTCCAATCGGTCCAACGTTACACGTCCACTCTGAAATGGTTCATGAACGTATGAATAGGCCTGCGATTGGCCTAACGTTACACATCCTTAACCAGATGTCTCGAAGACCACGATTCACCCTTATAAGCCTAATTGGCGCCGTAAGTCGAGAATTGAGTCTCTTTTGAAAAGGAAAAGGTAGGCCTTGACGTGATCTGAAGGCAGTCTGTTGGTTAGGCCTAAGCCTTACGTTAGTGAGTCCCGTAGAGAGGCTGGAGGGGGTGGAGGTTGAAGAAAGGGAAAGCGATTGAAAATTGGTTTTCACATTACTTCATCAACTGATAACCACACAACTGCTGCCGGGGCCCATTGTTCCGGCAGAGCGAAATTGTCTTTGTGAAGGCAATCCTTACCATTTCTGAACTGTCTTTTTGAAGACATTCTGTCACTGTTGACTGTTCTCATTGTCTCTTCTTGCTTCTAGCCTCTTCTCTCTGTTCACCAGACTCTCTCCCTAAATCTTCCCCCCCCCCCCCCCCCCCCCCCCCCCCCCATTACTCCTACTTCTAGCCTCTTCTCTCTGTTCCCCAGACTCTCTCCCTAAATCTTCCCCCCCCCCCCCCTCTCACCAGGCACAGAATGCCTGGTAAGAAGAAAACTCGTAAGAATCGGTCCCCAAACTCCTCCCCCTCTTCACAACCCCCTGTGCCTACACCCCCTCGGCCAAAACGTCAATCCTCTCCATCTTTCCATGCCCACTCCAAACCTGCATCCTTAGCCTCCGAATCCATAAGCTTCCCTCAAAAGTGCTCCTCCGAACGCAGCTCTCCGTCTCTCCCCTTCCCATTCGCACACCTAACCGTCCACGCCTGCAAATTCCTCTCTGCACGGTAGCAATTCACCAGTCCCCCCAACTCAAACTCAGACAGCCACAAGCAGCTCTCTCTTTCAAAACCCCCTTTTTGTGAATTCTCTCAACCCGAAACACCAACAGAGGATAGCATTCGTTCGCGCCTTTATGAGCGCCTTCCCTAAAGTCCAGTTGCTCGACATCAAACAAACTCGCTCCGCAGGCATTGCCCTCAAGAGTCAGGAGAGTTAGTGATATCAAGAACAATGTCTGGATAATGATTCAATTTTAGGTGCTACTAGGGTCACCAATGAAGTCAAGGGGCATGATAACACCCTTAAAAGCAAAGAAACCTTTTTTTTTCCTATGAATTACCCTGGTGACCCCAGGCGGATCCATCAGTCACAGGGCCCCTAAACTCCGTCGTCCACGTGCCTCACCCCTATGTAACGAAAGTTTAAAGTTCAAAGGAGCGGGCACACCGAAGCAGCCTCACGCATACACATTCGATCATTAGTAAAGTAGATGCCTAGATTCGAGCATTTCTTTAAGCCAATCGATTAAATAAAAGAAGTGCGTGATTTTTTTAAATCTCCTTTTTATAATTATCAGTTTGTCTTGAGACAACTACATCATGTCAGATGCACACGAGAAATTTTCTATACTATATATATAAACATTCAACAGTGATATATTCAATCCACACCAATTCAACGTTGAATCAATGTTATGTGCTACCTTGGGAAAGGTCAACTTGAATACAACAAATATGAGATATGAAAATAAATTACAGAGGGAAAAAATAATCACCATCTTTGCTTTGTCTCCCATGCTTCAGGCAATTTCCTACTGAGCGAACCTTTCCCCTCTCATCTGTTTAGTTCTCTCCATTGTCCTCTCCGTTGATGGACGAGAGCTACCATTTGAAAAGGAGAAATACATTTCGGAAAGGTCTCTAAAGCCCGATTCAATCGTAAATTAAAGTGCGTGACTTATGTATCATGTCACGCCTGTCAGTCCGGCAATCATGGTTCGATCTCGATTTTACAGGATGGAGGGGAAACCGGCAAAAGGACAAGAGGAACCAGTCCAGGATGCAAAACGTCAAAAGGTTTGTTAAATGTTAAACTATCTCGTAAGTATTATAGAAAGGGGAAAGCTTAACGTCACGAGAGATGGCTTCTATCTAGCAGCCGCGGTCTCAGCACAATTGTGGAGATATGAAGAAGCTGGTCTGTCTGAGACAGCTGGAAAAGTTTAAGAAAGATCCCCGAAAGGAAAAATGGATGAGGGTTCGCCTTACTGGATGCGAGGACCTCCCTTTCCCTAAGGGTGCTGAGAAGTATCAAAAAGAATACTATCCAGAGGCAGAGAAACGGGTTTATTCGTTTCCTGCTGGGTACGTCCTGAATGACAACAAACAAGAGGAATTATTCCATATTTTGGAGAAATCAAAGCCAGGCACGAAAGATGTGAATATTCCCCAAGCTTACACGGCAGTAGCGAAGGTTTTCAACTGCCTTAAAGAGGAATTAGAAGAAAAAGAAATACCTAGTTTCGTTTCATACGATTATGACTTCGTCAAAACGTTCCACGCAGCAATGGGACTATCGCAAACAAGGGTAGGAGGAGAGATAGGAGTAGATGAGTCCAAAAAGCGAAAGAAAAAGCCATCAATTTTAATGAAAAAGTGGGAGCGTATTGGCTTTCGGATATTGGATGGTGACCATGATGTATGCGGAATCGTCTTCGATGGCGAACGAGTCGTTGTCCTCTTCTTTGAGGTGAAAAGTATCGAACGAACAGATGACCAGGACGCCCTGAATGCTAAGGTGGGGAAAGCCGAAGAACAGCTTAAGAAGAGCGAAGAGGTTTTTCAACAGATCGTTGGAGCAACGGTATTTACGCATACTTTTCTCTGCTGCTTTCTGGCCGTCCCATCCATGTCGAAGGACTACGTCCGTAAAACCTTGAAATGCAAACCCGATTCTCTTTGCCATGAAAAAATTCTCACAGAGAACGATCTGGAATCGCGAGACGCCTTCAGGGGATTCCTTGAGAAACATGGGATCAATCTCACGAAGCGAATGAAAACAGTTCCAGCAGCCATGGAATGCTATTTGGATGTGATGAGTACGTACGTGGCGGCCTCGGCATCGGTGGAGTGCATGCCGAGAACAGTGGAAGAGCTCCGCAATAACATTCACGAGAGAATGCAAAAAGCCTTGGTTCTTCTCACACCTCATCAAAGGCAGATTTTGGATGACGACCGATCTGTTCTTTTCTTGACTGGGGGGCAAGGTACGGGAAAGACCCATCTGCTCCTCCATAGAGCTCAAAAATTTGCAGAAATGGGGGAAACGGTCGTCATCGTAAACATGTCAGAGGGAGAGCTGACTCAGGTTATGAGAAAATGGCGTGAGTCTTGTAAGTTCGAGGCAAATATAACAATCATGGATTCTTGCGAGTTTCTAGGCGTCGATCGGCGAGGAATGTACCTTCTTCCTGAGGTAATCAATGATAAAGATAAAAGCTTCATTGCCGAAATGTTGGTGGAATATCTAGACGGTGATCGACGAAAAATCGACTCTCTTCTTGCGAAAATCAGTGATAAAAAAGACAGCGTCATTGAAGAAATGCTGTTCGAGTATCTGGGCGGAGATCGACGAGGAATCGACCTTCTTCTTGAGAAAGTCAATGAAAAAAAAGACAGTCATGTGCTCATTGACGAAATGCTGGTCAATTTCGGCATGTACGGAAGGGATCCGGTGGAGATTGGACAAAAATGGAAAGCCCTTGTTGACAAAAAAAAAAGCAAAAGCCTTTGGATCACTTGGCGTCCCAGTAGTGTCACTTACCCCAAGTCTCTCGATTTACAGAGTGTTGTGGATTCCTTGGGGCGAGAAAAAGTGGAACTGCTCAATGAAATAAAAAGAAGCACGAAGGAACTCGGGGAATTCGTGATAGAAGTGACCCGATTCATCCAGAAGAGGTTTTCGTGCTACGATTTCCTTCCGATGCAAGGCCTGGAATATGGACAGCATCGCAGTGATGATCCGGGTGAAGAAAAAGAAATTCCCCGAGTTGTTTTCGTCCGAGCTCCTCCGGTTGACAATAGCCTTTGTCGATGGGCATCAGAGGCTATCATGGCCATTCAATCCTGGATCCCGGATTCCCGAACCCTCACTATCATCACCAGAACAGATGAGGAAAGGAATGTGTTGGTACGTGAACTCGGCAGTCAACTGGGACGAGGACGAGGACGAGCCTTCCTCGACTCGAGCGGGATACTCCGAGGGCGCCCCAATCCGGGATTATTCGTCTTCTATCAAGATCAGGTGACTGGGATGTCGTTCCAGAATCTCATTCTCTTAGATGATGAAAAATTCTTCTATCGATCTTGGTCTCGTATGGTGGGGATGGCCCGAGAAACCCTCCACGTGATCACGACAGACCCACTCCCCTCCCGTCACTGGGAAGAACCTGCAGAAATGGGATTCGTCTCCTGCTGCTCTCTCAGAAGACCCAGGAAGTCATCTTCCAGTTTTTCTTCTGATCCACTCGAAGAGAGTTCTTATGCGGAGATTTCGTGGATCTCTTTCCTGGAAGGAAAGACTTCCTGTTTGCCAGATGCCGAGTGCAAGTTCGAGCTACTCTTCGGACCGGTTCGTTCTGGCAAAACGAAATTTATTTTCGACAGGCTCAAGAGGAAAGTGGAAGAGGAAAACGAGGAAATGCGGAAGTCTGAAGAAACTTCCTCCAGATGGAAGACGTCGGAAGACCGCAAAGAATACGAAAAGGGGGAGCGCAAGCATCGGATTATGTTCTTGGACTGCAGCAGATGGAACAGGACTGAATATCCTCTCGGAATCTCTCTGTTGGATGTGAAAGAGAAGACGAAGAGAGAAATGTTGAACATTGTCGAGGTCTACGACGTCCACGACCTCTTCCAGCAGCACGGGCTGGATGTTTATGTGTGTCCAAACCCCCAGATCGTGAAAGAACTTTTAGTGAAGATGCTAGAGAAAGGCACGAACGAAGGACTAAGACTCCATGTAGCCTTCGACGATGTGCCCGTTGCAAGAATAGGCTCACCTGGAGACACGAAGAGTTTGAGGGTGGAATGGGAGGGAATCATCTCTTCACTCTCGTCCCATCCCTCTCTCGCTTCTCTCACCATTGCCTTCAGTCCCTTTATCCTATATGCCACGACCAATTTCGACGTGGAAAAGTTCAAGAAAGGCTTCCACAAACAAGGCTCTTCACAAACAAGTGAGATCGCTTCTTCTCGTATCATAGACAACGTAAGGTGAAAATGTTATCCAAGGATCGCTCAAAAAAATATTTTTACTTTGAAAACTTCCATATTGAATTATTCAAAGTACATTCATGGGACTGATGGATCTCTAAATTAAGGAGCAATGAAGGGATTCGATTTCGACAAGGACGACATGAGAATGTACCACGTCCGACCTCTATGTGGAAAATAAATTTAATCGATTAACTTGAATCGCTCTTGCTTGGAGTCCGATACTGTCCTATGACCCTGGTATGGTTCCCGTGCATTAATTTGGAGACATCTGGTGGAGCGAGAATGCATAGAGGGTTAATGAGTATGCGCACTTGCATTCACTCCTGGAGCAGATCCTTGTCGCGTTCGCCCTGTAAACGAAAAAGACGCTTTTCATTGACTTCTTGGTTGGTCTCTGAAGAATGTGACGTCCATTTACGGTATCGAGCAACGATCGAGACGAGTTCCGGCTTCACAAAAGCAAAATCCCGATTTCCGTACCTCGAGCCTTGCTGAGTCTGTACGGAACGCTTCAAGTTAGACATCGGCAAGAAAGTGGACTCCTAAAATGTGGAAACGGGAATTCCTGCGCGAATGGGAAAATAAAGTTTTGATGTTTTCTCACATTTGTTGTTCCGAGAATACCTTGGAATCGCTCCGTGGAACAAAACTACCTTCAGCAACCTTTCTGTTTTCCTGTAAATTCCAGTTGCGCTTTTCGTTGTTTCTTCAATTCATACAGTAGTCCTAGTGGATCCTTCGTTTCGAGAAGAGAATTTTTGACGCTTTCTGCAGAGGCGTGGGGTTTTCCACCTCATTCCTTGATTGCGCTCATTACTCAATCGTGTCGTGTTTCCTATGCTAGTACTCCATTCCTTCAGCAAGCCCTTCCATGCCTCATCATGCCACGGATTAGGGACACTAGTACAAGAGGAGATCCAGCCTAGCGTCCAGTCCTCATGGCCACGGTTGCCGGTTTTCATACTTCGATGACGTGAGATGTTCCGCTTTTAAGTCTGTTCCAATTTCATTCGCTCGTCACGATATGCATATTTTCGACAGGCTTTTGCACTAAGGTGAGATTAAGACATTCACAGCTGTCAAGTGTGAGAAAATTAAAATCCTCCTACTCACCACGGAAGACGGATTCATCACTGAAAATCAATGTCTTCATCGTGGCGTTCCACGTGTCCTAGCGGGTGAGAAACCTAACGTTACGCGTCCTTCGCCGGTGAGGTAATAGAAATTCGATATGTTCTCATAATAGGCGTAGTTGGTGCACGAGTGACAGGGCTGAATATGCCCATACATAGCATCGAACGTGGCCTGACAGCGCACGACGCGATGGATCCGGAAATTCGTGACGTTCGAGTTTTCGAGGCGCGATCCACCTCACTGAATCGGCAAAATTCTGCCGATTCTGCGAAACGTCTTACCGAACGATACCGCACCCTTCTAATGTTATGTACTTGGGGTCACTACAAACGGTAATGCATCGATTCCCGGTGCTGGACAGAGCGCAGATTTAGAAAACAACAATCAGGGTAACGGGACGATCTTTTGTCACTCATTCCTGTGCCCTTTTCCGAATTCCAGCAAATTCATGAAAGAGAATCCGAACCCAATATTCCTTTCATCCTTCGACAAGAGAACGGATCGAGATCGACAGGTGAAGACGGAGATTTCAGATTCTGCAAACTTACATTAGCCTTCCTCTTTTCAGGGCATTTTACATAGATATGCGTTTCTTTCCTTCCGACAGAATTTTCCATGCAGCTAAGTTGTTGAAAGCAATTTTGGTTCTAAGGAAGTTCCGTTCCAGGAAGATTCGATTCTGGCAAGCGAAACGAAAGCGGCAGTTTCTTTCTTCGTGCAGGAAAACAGGGGAAACGATTTGCTTTTGAAACCACACCTTCCGCGTTATGAAAGTACTTACGAAATGAATAAAAATCTATCCGGAAAAGAAGTTATTAAAAATTAGATTAATTCTCGAGGATGTTCCTCCCAAATCACTGCAACCCATTTTCATTCCGAGGTCCGAAACGCATTAATACTAATTTTTTTTTTTTTTAACGAAGGCGAAGATAAATGTTCAGCGAATATAATAATTATTCTGAGATATACTCTTGAAGCGAAAAAAGTGTCCTAATGTACCCCTAATGCCTCGTGTGGATGAGAGGGACAACTGAAAGGAAATCCCTAAATAAAATCAAGAATGAGGTTCGTTGCCCCGATCTGCCGATTTAGTGGAACGCTACAAATAATAGCCTAAACAGTCATTGGAATTCATTACCAACTTTAATGTCTTGCGACTTATCCCATGCTATTCGTGCGAAAATTCGGGGATGCGGATATGAGGTATTTGCAGCTGTGAGTAGTCCCATACACCAAAAGCCCAACTACCTTTTTCTTTGGGATGATTACGATCGGAGCATCTTTGACCGCAGTTAGCAACACATTCGAATTTGCCTTAGGTTGGCTCTACATGTCTTTACTTTTTCCCTTCCAACAGACGTGAGGATTCTGGAGGGATGCTGGGATGTGGGCTTCCCCCGCCTCCTTCGTTACGTCCTCTCACACGAATCCCCCAAGGAGCTGAAGGTGAAACCGGGAACCCTGAACACTCGGCCGCAGCCTACTTCCCTCGTTTTCGGTGTTCGACCCACCCTCGTCACCCCTCCTGTTGGGTTGCACTACCACGGGAAATATAAGTGCATCGGTGGCCGGGGAAGAGGATGCATCGCAATCACCGCTGCTGCCGCATTTCACTCCCTACACAGCAAAGCAGAAGAAACGTACAGTCAGGTACACATTTTATACGTTATGAGGTACAAACATATGTCGTAAAATACGTTCGTTGAAAAGGTACACATGCGTACCTTTCTTATCTCTATTCATATCGGGCTTAAGGGGGTTCAAAAACCGGTTCATGAACCTCAATTGTCGGCTTCGAAGGGAGCTTTAATGGTCCGTCATCCTGCACCACGTCTACGACAGGCAGCGACCTGACCCTGATAACACGCTGACAGCGTCTCCATTTCGCATAGGGCGTGCCGACTGTCTCATGAACACACCTGTAATCATGGGGACAGTAACTAGACCACCCTGTTTAAGAAGGACAATCTTTCAAGTTTCTTGAAAGTTGGCCGCCCATTTTTCAGAGAGAAAAAACTCTTAACCTGTCGGTTCACACTTCTCTGTTCCCGTACAAAACCCCAGCATTTAAAATTTTCCAGAATCATTGATTGCCATTGAAACATGATATTTATACTTTTACTAAATACTCCTTTACAAGTATTACGATAAGATAAATACAGGGAAAGGAAGAAAACTCTTCTCCTAAGGTCTGGTGAGTCCTGACTCGAGTTCGAAAATTTGAGGGAACATAAACGCCATCTTATGCCTACTTTGAGTACTGCACTGAGAACCCGGACATCTGCGTCAGGAACGTACACATGTGTACGTCTGGACCACACGTGCAGACCCGAGGGACACAATATGTACCTCTCACATTTGTACCTCTCCTTGTACGTTTCTACTTTGCTGTGTACCTAACGTACGTTCCATCGGACGTTTCTTTGACCATCGCTTGACACTGCGTCGAGGATAAGCCTCCCGATCCTGTGTAGTAGAATCGGCTTTCATCCATGAGAACTGGATCGCATTAGGAGACATACAGTTTCAGCAACAAAATGTCATTTTCGACGTTTTCTATGAAAGCAAAACTGTAAATGAAATACGGCGACTAGAATCTTGAGGTCGTCCATGATGTTTGAAGTTCGTCGACAAGCTAGTTTCCTTCAAAAATCTGACAATACCCAGTCAAATATTTCTTGTCGGGCCATCGATGGCTTCTCGTCGACGTGCATATAAGCCGTAGTTGGGCCATCATTGGTATATGGTTGGCTCACGGTTGGGTTAAGCCGGCTTATAGTCGGGCATGTGCTGTTGGCCCTTCATTGGGCTAACTTTGGCTCATTGTTGGGAAACCGCAAATGCCCCAACCATTGGCCGACTTTTCACCATTGGTATAGGAAAAAAACCGACAAAATAATTGCATCTACAGTATTATGTATCTTGGAGTAATGAGAATGCATCTTTTGACCTCTTTCTGCTCCTTCATATGGTAGAGATGAAGGAGCAGGACCTTATCTGAGTACTTTACATAGGTACACTCCTACCGGCAAGTACATTTCAAGCAATACCCCTTCTGAATGCTGAGGTATCCAGGAGCGGAATCACATGGGAATGCAAAGATGTTTGTTCCCCCAAAAGAAGGTTAGACACGCCTTAAGGCCGATGCACACTGACTGCGAAGTGTTGCGACAAAGCCGCACTGCGACCGTCTGCGAAGTTCGCAGTCATTTCTTGACTGCGACCGTCTGCGAAGCGTCATCCACACTGGTCGCAGAGCTCCCAAGCCAAATCAACCAGGTGTGTGCAATTTGAGAGCTCGTGCTGCAACACTCTTGTTTTTTTGTAGGTACAGTAGGTAGGTACGTCCTGGACGCACATCCAGTCATCAGATGGGAGAATTCGAGGTCCTAAACTCTTAGAAAATACAGCGATTTCCTCGAAAGGGAGCGAAACTGGAGTTAGCGGTTTTACCCCCAAAAAACATGGAAGTAATGTCGCTGACCTTTGTATTTCCTGAGAACAACCATCAACTTTTACTACTAGTTTGAGAAGTACTCTATCTCATTCCTTTCGCGCTCTTAAAAACATATGGATTTTGCTCTTGTAAAGTAGTTATCGATTGCAATTCCTCGTTTTTAGGGAGCAAAACTGCCAACTCCAGTTTCTCTCCCTTTCGCGGATATCGCTCACTTTTTTCTGAGTGCAGAAGAAAATATTATCACCTTAGACAAAGAAACATGGAAAATAATCAGGAATATAAATGATATCGAGGCCTTTCTTGGATTTCATCTATTTAAACTAAGTATCTCGTTCATGGAGAATCAATGGTGATGATTGGCATCATCTACCGTCGAAGTCATTCCACCAAAAGAGCCGCCAAACTATCCATAATTTGTATCGAAGGATTTCATAACTTGCACTCAGTAGATACGCAGCACGAACCACTGCGAAGATGCGACAGGAATTGACCCGTCCGATTCCGTTGCGAAGCGCACTGCGACCGTCTGCGAAGGTCCCACGCATCTCCAATGCGACCGATTGCAACGGACTGCGACGGTCGTAGTGGTCGAAACGCAGCTCTTTGCAGTCAGTGTGCATGGCCCTTTACACGTAATCGAATACGGAAGACAATGTCTGTTTAAACTAAGAAAAAACGTCGCGTGGCCGATTGTGGAAAGGAGAAGGTTCCTGCCACGGACCTCGGGGCCGGAAGTTCCTGGTTTATTCCAGAGCTAGGTTACATCTTCAGAGAAATGTTGAAAGGAATTCGATTGTCTTCCTCTGAGATCTATGTGGGAAAGCATAGGGAACCGTGTCAAAGGGACAGGGGACTCATCTCAGTAGTATCCAGGAAGTGACTCCCCACTACGACCACTTTGGCTCCATCTCACGCCGGTTTTTGGAACCTTCTCAGTCACATTGGCCTATCTTCGGCGAATGATTGGCCGGCCAACTCACAAGTGTGAGTTGGCTTGCCAATCATTCGCCGAAAATGGGCCAACTCCCCCAGCAATGGCCCGAAGATAAACCAACGAATACTTTTGACAGGGTGGAAGCCAAGAATGAAGTTGAAGCAATTCGGAATGAAAGTGGGGATCATTATGAAGAGCGTTATTTGCAATAGAGTTGATCGTAGGTGCAGGTTTGCGACTTCTCCCGTGGATAATCATGTGGTATTCATTCGAAGGAAATGGGAAGGGCTATTTGATTATTCAAGCAAGGGAAACCTATAGGACTGTAAGAAACGCCATAAATTCAGGCTACCATCAAGTTTACGGTGAAAAAATGCTGTAAGTGAACTGGAATCCGCTAACAGGAGATTCGGAATTCGTTTTAAGAATTCCGTAGTTGAAGAATGTCTGCAGACGTATCGGTGAAAAACGACCGCGTTTCCGGCAAAACGGTATCTGTTATCGTCCATGAGGGATAGGTTCCCTTACGAAAATGTCTTATAGGATTCCTATATATTCTTAGAGGAATCCTATAGGAACCTAAAGGAATCCTATAGGTTCCTATATGCCCCATAGAGTTCAGTTTGGGACCTATAGAGTCCCCTATAGAACCTATAGAGCCCCCTATAGAACCAATAGGGTTCCTCATAAGGCCTATAGGTTCCCTCTAGGACCCAAAGGGCTCTGTNACCTATAGGAAAGTCTATAGGTTTCCTATAAGAAATAGCTAAAGGTTTCCTATAGGACATTTTCGTACGGGTTGTATTAGGAGACACGTGGTGAAATGTCATTTTCGCCTTCCAAAAGAGAACATCCTCCATTACTGTCCTACGTGAAACTGAATGCTGGAATACGGCGACAGGAATCTCAAGATCCGAAACGGAATCTGGACTACATTGTCGGACACATTTCCGATTAAAATTCGCTATTCACGAGCAGAAATGAAGCTTAAGTAATCGCCAGTGAATATCGGACGCTTCACTTAGAATGTTTCTCGGTAGAACGGATCGCAAATGCAAATTTGAAATATTTCCGGGAAGATTGTTTTGGGACGTCCTTACGAGGGAATGGGAATTTATTTTCATTTCCTAATCGGTCAGAACTCAAACCCTAAGAACTATCGGTCAGAACCCTTTTGGTCCTATAGCGAACCCTACAGGTTTTATAGGGAACCCTACGGGTCCTATACAGAACCCTTTGGGTCCTATAGGGAACCTATATGCCTTATGGGGAAACTATCGGTCAGAACCCTTTTGGTCCTATAGAGAATCCTACAGGTTTTATAGGGAACCCTACGGGTCCTATACAGAACCCTTTGGGTCCTATAGGGAACCTATATGCCTTATGGGGAACCCTATTGGTTCTATAGGGAACCCTATCGGTTCTATAGGGGGCTCTATAGGTTCTATACGGAACTCTATGGGGCATATGGGAACCTATAGGATTCCTTTAGGTTCCTATAATACATTTTCATAAGGGATGGAAGGGCTTGCTGAAGGAATGGAGTACTAGCATAGGAAACAGGACACGATTGAGTAATGAGCGCAATCAAGGACTCATTCAATGAGGTGGAAAACCCCACGCCTCTGCAGAAAGCGTCAAAAATTCTCTTCTCGAAACGAAGGATCCACTAGGACCATGAATTGAAGAAACAATGAAAAGCGCAACTGGATTTTACAGGAAAACAGAAAGGTTGCTGAAGGTAGTTTTGTTCCCTGGAGCGATTCCAAGATATTCTCGGAACAGATAGAGTCTGTGTCATGGATTTGACGAAAGTTGAACATCGTTCAGTGATCAAATTCCTCACCAAAGAAGGGAAAGCACCTAACGAGATTCATGAACGTATGTCTAACGTTTATGGTGTGTCTTCGCCTTATTATCAAGTTAAATTTC